ACCTGAGGCTGTCAAATCTCACACTCCAGGTGACTTTTTAGGGGAAATCTTCTCAGGCTGTTTGTTTTGCAAACCAGCTAGTCTCTCTAGCACCACAAAAAGTCACAATGACCTGGCTTCAAATCCCAGCTTCAGTCACAATGAAAATGAGTGTGGTAACCTCCTGCTTCTCCTACTGACTTTACTCATCAGAAGTCCAGGACTAATGCTGCTTAAGACTAAGGGTATGTCTACACTAGAAATGTAAGTCAACCTATATTATTAGGTCGTTACAGCCACTGCAGTAATGCATGTCCACACCAGGGGTGCTACTACCAACCTAAGAAGGGCAGTGTGGGGAGCTGAGAATCCAGTCTGCCCCCCTCTCCTCTCCCCTTTGGGTTTGGGTCCAAAGCCACCAAAGCGTCTCCCCTCCCTGTTCCCTGCCAAGAGCCGGGGGAAACTGCCTAGGGCTTCTCGCCCCAGGGAGCGAGGTCCAGCTGCCCCGGCTTCTCCTCCTCCTCCTCCAGGAGCCGGGCAGCCTTGTCAATGTCATGGCTCACCAAGAGGAGGGAGGAAGGCTGTAGTGTAGACACCGACATAATTAGGTCGACATAAGCTGCTTTAGGTCGACCTAAATGTGTAGTGTAGACCAGCCCTGATATACATTGACAGAAGTGGGGATGGGAAAGTGGGCAGCAGAAGTGTGTGAACATAGGTCAGTATAGAGGAGCACTGGCAGAATTGCTCATGGGAACCTTGCACAGAAAATGCTTGTACTCGGTTTTGTGCAATCCAGTGCAATTGGTACCCTGTCTTTTGTGAGCACTGAATTAAACTCACATATTTAACAAACACACATCCCTCCACCATATGTTATAACATATGCTAAAAAGCTTGATTTAAGTCCCAAACAGAAAGGTACACATATGTGGTGTCTGCCAATGCAGTGCATGCACACAGCTCTGTCTGCATGTGCTAACATTATATTAAGGACAGTGTCTGTTTGTTTTCATTATCCCAGGATAATGCAATTGATTTAATAACATAGAGGTTTATGATCTTCCAAGAGAAGAACCAGCATCTCAGCTAGTAATGGACATTAGCAACCGATCACGTTTCAACCACACCATGCTTTTCTTAAATCGGGGAAAAAATGCTACTCACCTGATGAAATCCCAGGTAGTCCTGAACTGTAGGTGAGACGTAGAAAACATAACCCTCTGCTGTGACTGCAATGACAAATCCATTTAGTGCCTGAAAGAAAGAAGAGATCCAGTCCTAGAGGGTGACAACCATCTTTTCTGTGCACGTGCATAGGTTCATGACATGGGGGAAACACCACCGGACTGGGTGTGAACTTGTTACCCAGGGTCCTAGAAATCCCTTTGCCACAGAAAAACATGGAATTTGCATTTTTACAGAGAATTGCTAGTTTTTACATTTTATGAAAAAATAAAAACATATACAGTAGAACCCGGATTATCCGAGCCTCCATTATCCAGCTCTCCATATTAACTGAACCACCAGCCGCCCAGGGCTGATAGCCATGGGGCAAAACAGATTGAGGGGCATGATGGGGGATTGTAAAGAAAGGTGAGTCTTTGGGCTGTGATTCAGCAAAGCACTAACTTAAGTGCTGTTGATTTCAATGGGTTTTAAATACAGGCTTAAGTGCTCTGAGGAATCAGTGCCTATTTTAGAGATTGTTCACTGCAATTCAGTTGTCTATTTCCTTGACAAATGCCCCTTTTTTTGGATCATTCCTGAACTAATGATTTACCACTGACAGAAACCAGGATGGGGGGTGGTCAGGCCTAGAGATTGGAGCCAGGGGTCAAAACCAGAATCAGAAGGCTAGAGCGGGGCTGGAATGAGGCCAGAGTGAGAGCTAGGCTGGAGCAGGGCTAGGAACAGGGCTAGAGCAAGTTGCCACTGTTAAGCAAGGAAGAGTCCCAAGTCCTAGAGTGACGTTGGGCAGACTAAGCTGCTGTGAGGCTTATATACCTGCCCTGAGAGTCACCAAGCCAGTTCCTGGCTTGTGGATTGGCTGGAGCCTAGCACAGCCTGACTCATCAGTGCATGTGTCTTAATCAGGCATGGTCTACACTACGAAGTTAGGTCGAATTTAGCAGCATTAAATCGAATTAAGCCTGGACACATCCACACGACGAAGCCCTTCTTTTCGACTTAAAGGGCCCTTTAAACCGGTTTCTTTACTCCACCTCCGACGAGGGGATTAGTTCTGTAATCGGCCTTTGCGGGTCGGATTTGGGGTAGTGTGGATGGAATTCGACGTTATTGGCCTCTGGGAGCTATCCCTCAGTGCTTCATTGTGACCGCTCTGGACAGCACTCTCAACTCAGATGCACTGACCAGGTAGACAGGAAAAGCCCTGCGAACTTTTGAATTTCATTTCCTGTTTGCCCAGCGTGGAGAGCACAGAGGACCACGCAGAGCTCATCAGCACAGGTAACCATGATGGAGTCCCAGGATCACAAAAGAGCTCCAGCATGGACCGAATGGGAGGTACGGGATCTGCTCGCCATATGGGGAGACGAATCAGTGCTAGCTGAACTCTGTAGCAGTAAACGAAATGGCAAAATATTAGAAAAAGTCTCAAAGGCCATGAAGGACACAGTGCCGCGTGAAAATTAAGGCGCTAAGGCAAGCCTACCACAAAGCCAGAGAGGCAAACGGAAGGTCCGGGGCAGAGCTGCAAACATGCCGCTTCTATGCGGAGCTGCATGCCATGCTAGGGGGTGCAGCCAGCACTACCCCAACCATGTGCTTTGACTCCATCAATGGAGAATCACGCAACAGGGAAGCGGGTTCGGGGTATGAGGAAGATGATGATGAAGACAATGAAGATAGCTCACAGCAAGGAAGCGGAGAAACCGGTTTCCCCAACAGCCAGGATATGTTTATCACCCTGGACCTGGAACCAGTAACCCCCGATCTCACCCAAGGCATGCTCCCAAACCCTGAGGGCACAAAGGGACCTCTGGTGTGTGTACCTTTGTAAATATTACACATGGTTTAAAAGCAAGCCTGTTTAATTATTAATGATTAATTTGCCCTGGCAATCGCGGCCAATACAGCTACTGGAAAAGTCTGTTAACATGTATGGGGATGGAGCGGAAATCCTCCAGGGACATCTCCAGAAAGCTCTCCTTCATGTACTCCCAAAGCCTTTGCAAAAGGTTTCTGGGGAGGGCTGCCTTATCCCATCCGCCATGGTAGGACACTTTACCATGCCAGGCCAGTAGCACGTAGTCTGGAATCATTGCATAACAAAGCATGGCACCATATGGTCCCGGTGTTTGCTGGCATGCAGACAACATCCATTCCTTATCTCTCTTTGTTATCCTCAGGAGAGTGATATCATTCATGGTCACCTGGTTGAAATGGGGTGATTTTATAAGGGGACATTCAGAGGTGCCCATTCCTGCTCGGCTGAACAGAAATGTTCCTCACAGTTAGCCACGCGGCGTGGGGAGGGGTGAAGTGATTATCCCAGAGAATTGGGTGTGTGGGGCGGGGGGTAGTTGGGTTTGTGCTGCATGTTAACCCGGAAAATGCAGCCTATCCTTTTACATTGCAAACCCATTTTAAATAGCCAACCTTGGTCCTTGGTATGGGAAATGAGGGCGCTGCTGTTTGAAACCATCCCCACATGTTATGAAGGTTAAAAAAAGCCAAAAGACTGTGGCTTACCATGGCTGCCTGCAAGCCGAATTCTGTTGCCTGGCACTGCGTGAGTGATCTCACACACCAAACCGGCAGAGGAAAAATGCGACCTTGTAACGAAAGCACATGCGCTGTGTAATGTGAACAGCAAAATTTAATGTGAAAGAGTGTACCCATTGTTCTCTAAAATGTGTCTTTTATAACCACCTCTCCATTCTCCTCCACCAGCTGCAAATGTTTCTCCTTCACAGAGGCTAGTGAAGATTAGAAGGAGAAAACGGCAGACTCGGGATGATATGTTCTCGGAGCTCCAGATGTCCTCCCACGCTGACAGAGCACAGCAGAATGCATGGAGGCAGTCAATATCAGAGTGCAAAAAAGCACAATATGAATGAGAGGAGAGTTGGCAGGCTGAATCGTGGGCTAAAGAGAGCAAATGGCGGGCTGAAGAGGATAGGTGGCGTCAGCTTGCTGACAGAAGGCAAGAGTCAATGCTCCGGCTGCTGGAGCATCAAACTGAAATGCTCCAGCGTATGGTTGAGCTGCAGG